TATGCGACAAAAGAGGTTTGTTGTTAAAACGTTGCTTATTTGTTACTTATACAAATATGAGTTTTATAAAAGTGTTTTGGTGATTTTCACTCTGCAATAGCAATCAAATGGATTTCTCACTAGACCTCAAGATCTAACCCTCATTTGTATTTTTAAATTGTTCATTACAGGTTGGGCATAATCAATTGATAAGGGGAAAGGGAAATTGTGAAGATTATATGATTGCTTTTTGGGATAATATGATATCTTTTGTACCGGGATTCTTGTTACGTATACAAGTTTTGCATTGGAAATATGTGAAAAAATTTGGTAGCTACTTTTATAATGTAGCTTTTGTATAATTTGGAACCGAATGTGTAAATTGTATTTCTTTATATATGAATACGTGGTTATATGCAGATGTGATTTTGGTGTGTTACAAATTTGGTATCAGAGCTGATAGGTTACAAAAAAAACATGGTGAGAAAATGTAAATTAATCAGTAAATAAGATCTTATAAAAAAACGATAACCGACCTAGAAGACATACAAAAACCATATAATGTGTATTTGTTCGGCGGCCAATTTCTGTGTCTGCGACGCTCGAATGCATTTTTTAGTAATTGATATGTCAGACGCCATATATACGAGTCCCATGGGTATTGGTTCCAGGCATCCAAAATTTCAACTAGATGCAAAATCCAGTATTGGATATGGTGGTTCTTTTTTTTCGTCCCAAGAATACCGTATGAAGCATAATTACGAGGCAAACATGCACCACATCATCGTCTGATATATCTTTATTATTTAAGTCGATTACTTTATTTCTAAAATGATCAAATTTAATATTATCATGTTTGGTCATTTTACCAAACAATCTTGTAATAATTAATAGGATGGTACAATGTGGCAAACGAAGATCAGGCCCAAATCGGAACCCGTGATGAAACAGAACTCATGTTTACTGAACCGTAAATTGAACCGTCCAATACGATAATACATTTCTTCAGATTCAGAAAGGAAAGAGGGGTCCTCACATTGCACAATCCAATTAATTAAGGAGGAATATGCATATTGGTTAGATATATCTAACCATGGGCCGAAACATGTATCTCTAGAAACAAGATGGTTAGAAACTCATGGGACTTCTATAAAAACTCAATCTCTCAGAAGTGAATTTCCATATACTGTGTCCATGGAGTGTCCACAAAGTTCCCACTGTCATAGATTTTAAGCTTGTCGAATTAGCTAAGCGATATAAAGATATCTAGTTCCACTAGTCTGAAGATTTATTTTCAAATCTCTTTGTAGCGTAAACCTCGACTTATATTTGAATCTTAGCTAAATACATGAAAATTTTGTATCTTTACGTGATTGTCAAAGACTCTCTCAAATATTTGTGCATCAGTTAAGCCGTATTTTGAATCTGTCCATCTCTCGAACTATGATATAATAATAATACTTTAAAGTGATTGGCTTATCTGCGTTGAGTTTAAGTCCCGATATTAAGTGACCAAGCTTAAAAATTAGCAACATTGGCAACATCCAAGTGTACCTACTAGTCTTAAGTTTGACTCATACTCACACCCAAAAGAGGTGACTAGTTCATAATAAAACTAAAGAACATAGAAGAAGCAGAGAAATGCATACAAAATACTTGAATTGAAATATAACTAAAACTGTTGCCACAGTGGACAGACATCGGACAGAAACATAACTAAAATTAAATACAAGACAAGAAGTAAATACAGAAAATTGAACTCTAACTACTGCTCTAGATCTTCAGTTGAGAGTAAATGCTCCAAAGATGTCTCTTCAAGTTGAGAGTTTATAGGAAAAATGGAGAGATGGACATCCCTTTTATCCAAAGAAAAGAAACATCTTTCCTACTTTAGGACAAAGACTTCATTCCACTTTCTTGCATGATCTTCTAGATTTGCTTGTCACCTTTTGAAAGGATGCAAAAGGGAAGGATGAGCATCCCCTTGATTTAAGGAAAAGTACTTTAAGCCATTTTTAAAGCAAAATGGTTCATCCCTTTAGATTTTGTGATATCTCTAGAATGGACCACATTTTTAAATCTCTTAAATACCTAGAAAATATGGTGTTTAACCTTATCTAGATCTGCCTTGAAAAAATTATCACAGTAGGCAGGAAGTGGGAATGTAGGTGGCACTGTTCAGTAGTGACGGTCTTCAGAATAAAATCAAATGTTTGACCTTTTATCACCTTTTAAGAACATTTTAGACCAAAAATATAAGATAGATGTAGAATGAATACATAAAAGACATAAAAATAGGAGTATTGAACAACAAATAACTTTCAAAATTAAGAGATATCAGTTGCATTTAATTTGTATTATATATGTACGTACGTACGTACGTATGCATGCATGCATGCATGTATGTATGTATGTATGTATGTATGTGTATGTGTGTGCGTATATATATATATATATATATATATATATATAATTTTTGATTTGTTAAAACAAATTATGTGAAAAACATACATTAATTTACAATTCAAAATAACCATTACATATAGTATGATAAAAATGAAATTG